CTTTCATTCTTTTTCTTTCTCCCCTCTAGCTCTATTACCGCCATGGCTGGCTATCGCCCACATCACCATTTCATTGGCTAGTGCCACGTGATTGTGAATAAATAATAATAATAATAATTATCACTCCCCCCTCACGTGACCGCGGACTCCTGCATATACACTCACACAATAACCACACAACTGTTTGGGGATAGCGCGCTTATTGTATTATGCCAAACTTGACACGCTGAGTCCAGCTTGACTCAGCTGAGTCCCTAACTGCAATTTACTGCTCTAACATGAAGCCGTGCCTGGAAGAAGGGAAAGAGCGAAAAAGAAAAAAAAAATTCTGGCCTTCTGCAAGCAATAGCAAGTAATGAGTGACGGCTGTGTAAAGTCGCACAACCATGCAGTCGACCGGATGATGGTGAGTGTCCGGCACACGTCTTGCTCTCCTGCTCCACCTGCGCATACCTGTACGGTGGTGCGCTTACGGGCGGGCTGCCTGGGCCCCAGATGCCTCCTTGATGCGCCACGGAGTGCCGTCGAAGCACCTGTATCACTTCGGTGATCCAAATGCGAATGCAGCCTTGCCGGTCGCCCGCCGGCCTGCCGCCTACGCGACCGGCCTGAGACTGGCCCTGCCGCATTTGGCGCTTCTAAACGCTGTGATCCGGTAGACAGCTCACTGGGCTGCCAAATACGTGACTGGCTTGAGGACAGTTCCATACTGGGCAGGGCGCCCAGCTCAGGTCGCACGCCGTAGCGGCGTGAGCTGGGCGCGGTGAGGGTTGGTGATAACTACAGTTTCCTCCTTCCTCCTCCGGAAACTTCCATTAATGTAGAGCCGGGTTGCAATCTCCTACTGTGGGTGACTGGGGTCGGTAGCAACTCTGCACGCACATCAATGAGCATCCAAGTAGAGTATTCACCGCGGTTGGCGCCTCATGTATCACAGATGCACAGCTTCGACTCGCCATAGCCCTCCCAGCTACTGACAACAGTGAGGACAACAGCACTGGTGACTTCAATTTCAGGTCGGCATTAAGAGAGATTCAGAATGTTGAGGACGAAGTGGACTATAGTTTTCAACAGACAAGCAGTGAAAAACGCAGCAAACACCAAACAAGATCCAGGGTGGAAATGACCAAAAATATGGATAACTAGTAACTACTTGGTGTGATAAGATGAACCTACTACGTACTACATGAACAATGGGCATGTGCATTTAGGATCCAATGACAATCAGAAACAAGGAATTTGACAATGTGCATATTGCGTGTGTTGCAGATGACTAGCACTGCATAAAGTACAATGCCATGGATGTGAAAGCGAGCAGCAGCAACATGTGAATACATGGCACCGGACGAGTGAGAGACCCAGCTCCAGAACCTTCATCTTGGTTGTTTGTTTCATTTTCTGTCAGACAACATGCTGGCTCCGCGCAGCAATCATCCGAGCAAGTCAGGCTGCGGCTGAGAGAACACCTTTTCGGATTCTTGAGAGAACAACAGTCGGCTGGGCATGATGCTGCAGTCTCACCCTGGCTTGTATCACAGACTAGGTTACCACACATGGCTGGTGTGAACGTCCTGTTCCTTGTGGACCTCTTGGAAATGATGCTATTGAAATAGGACGATCCAGTGCACTGATTGACAAAGCAGGCAGCCCATAGCCAACAGGTCGATGGCACTCCACTGCCGATAATCGCGATACTATTACAGTAGCGCCTAACCTCTTCTTGGCCACTACAGCCACCACATGTGAAATCATCAATACCTTTCTTACAGCCATTTGGTGAAATAATGTTGCCACCACGGTCGCAGTGTTCAGCAGGGCTTGCTGAGTCATACGTTACTCGTGAAGACCCAGGACAAGGACCGTACGAATCCTCATTCTGATTATTGCAGCAGATGAAATGGTGCACGGAACTGGATCCTCCCCTGCTGTAGTAGCGGCAATAACCCTTGCTTTCAGATGGCAACGAACTGGAATCGCAGCTACCTTCAACTGAAACAGTGAATAAGGTCGCTGCCAATGCGCACCACAACAGCGTCAGTCGAGCCATCATTATTCAGGGAAAGACAGTCTTATTTTGTACGCTCGCAGTTCTTTTCCTTCTCAAAACTCAACGACAACTGAAGAACACCACGGAGGCACCCTGTGTGACATGTACATGTATCTACACTCTACGAGTGCATGTACAACGCTATCACTACTACTAGTACTAGGTGTACCTGTGGCAAGCGGTGTTCTGCACAGATCCTCCACGCTACACTTGTATAGTCTTGATATCCGGACAACAGGGATCAGCGACGGTTAGAAATCAAGTAACTTACTTAGTTTTGAAGTAGACTTCAGCACTGTTGGTCGCGCGTTCCACAGGAGACATGTCAACGCTGTTCGTTTACGGTTTAGCTGTGTATACTGGTTTGTATGCATTCATGTCAGGCGATAGAGCGGCCCTCATTTTTTTGAGTAATAAGTCATATATTATTAGTATGCTTCGACGGGTCCGGGTCTCTGGTTTCACATGTGCCTTTTATGCCGCCCTGCTCGGCCTGCTGTGCCTTTTATGCCGCCCTGCTCGGCCTGCTGTGCCTTTAGGCTTTATGTTCAGTGTCTGCTCCAGCGCCGGGTGAGCCGGGTAATCCACCCGGTTGGGCGGCGCTTGCACCCGGTTGAAAAGATAGTACCGGGTCACTTGTGACCCGGTTGGTACTTTACACTTTCGAACTTTGAAAGGACTAGCTACATGGCTTGTATGTGTCAGATACTTCTTCTTCTTTCGTAATTTTCTAATTCCTGTCCTCTCTTTTTTCTAAATGCGGCTTAGCCATTCGCCTTTATATCATTGGGCCTAGTTCCCGTTTATTGTCCGAATTAAAATAAACCAACCAACCAGTTAAAGCATGTGACTCGGCTGGTGAGACAGCGCCAGGTACATGTGTACCCGGCTCCGACCCGGTTGAAATGGTTGCACCAGGTACACGTGTACCTGGCTGTCCTACATTCCTAGAGCAGACACTGATGTTGCCCTGCTGTTATAACTATATAAGACGCAGGTGCCTTTCCCTTTCGGCTAGTCTTCACTTCAGTAGTCTTCTTCTTTAGTAGTTAGTTAGTTGGAAACACAATATTAATAACAAGGAAGTTTGCAATGCGAGTCGAGCCTGAAGTGAGCCTGAAGAATACAGTCTAGAAATAGTAGAATCCAGTAAAGCGAGCCAGACAGAGAGCTGGCCATAAACTGGTCCTTCGAGCCGGATCACGACCAGCAGAAAGTCTCTGTTTCCGTTGCTTGACATGGAGTTCCCACGAAGGAGTAGCAGGAGAACCCTAGGTAAGATGCCCAAGCGGTTCCTCTCCGATGGGGAGCAGGCCCAAGAGCCGAGGCGGTCGGGACGCAGGAGCGGCGGCAGGACGTCCGCGAGCGAGAGCCTTGAAGTCGGGGGCGTTGAACTTGAAGCTGCGATATTGCGTAGGAACAAGGAGGCAGAACTGGAGACTGCACGGCGGATCGCCGCTCTGAAGCAGCGGGAGATCGACCTCCAAATCGACCTGGCGGAAAAGGAGCTCGAAGTCGAGCAGGCGAGGGCGGCGGAGGAGTTGGCCAGCGCGAGCAGTGCCATGGCAGCGCGAAGTTCTGCTGTGGATACCTCGAGTTCAGAGCCAGAGAGCTCAGAGCTAGAGAGCGAGGATGTCGATGGTGGGAGCTGGCCACGCGGCGTGGGAAGTCGTCGTGCGCGATCGGACGCGGAGGCCAAGCGCAGGCTGGCCAAGCGCAGGCTGGCCAACCACTTCAGTCGAAGTGCCTTCAGCGACGCAGGTGCTGGCGCAGTGGCTCATCGCAATCGCAGGCCCAGGTTAGAACAGGGGTCTGGGTCACAGCCTGCACAGCAGCCCATGCAGCCGAACATGCAACAGCCAGTGCAGCTTGCAGTACAACCCAACACCTCAGCTCCAGTGCCGAGAGCAAGCCTGCTCAAGTATCGACCTGCTCCAACACCAGCCCCACGTGCGAAGCCCAGACGTCTACCACTCCCAGCTAAGCCAGTCCCGCCAGTGCCTTTGCGACTTGGTCCAGTCCAGCAGGCCTTCAAGCCCAAGGGAGCGAGACTCAGCCCACCACCTAAGCCAGTCCCGCCAGTGCCTTTGCGACTCCGTCCAGTCCAGCAGGCCTTCAAGCCCAAGGAAGCGGGACTCAACCCTGCAGCGGAACCCTACTTCCCGCCCACCAGGGCGACCGACCCAGCAGTCGACTGGGCAGACGGAGCGGCTATGTTCCAGATGGGAGTCTGCAGGTCCCTGAAGCCACTGGACCTGCCAAAGTTCGATGGCAAGATGCTGTCATATGTGAAGTGGCGTCAGCGGTTTCTCCGTCTAGTACACGAGAACCCGCTCTTGTCAGAGGACTATAAGCTCGCGCACTTGCGGGAGGCACTGGCGGACGGAGCGGCCGAGGACTTGATCGCGGACGTGCTAGACGGCCCGGGCGCCTACTCCGCCATCATGGAGGAGCTGGATCGGTGGTACGGGGCACAGACCGTAGCCTCGAACAGCAGGAACGCGAGCTCATGAGTTGGCCGCGAATCAACACGGAGCGCGAGCTGGATGAGCTGAAGACGCTGGCCGTCAAGCTGAGGAACACGCTGTTGAACCTGCGGGTGGCCAGGATAGCGCCCGGGCGAGAGCTGTATCTCTCAGTGACGCAGAAGGTGCCGCGTTCGGTCCTTTCAGCTTACTTTGAGAAGCAGGACGACACCCAGTGTGACATTGACGCATTTGCCGCGTTCCTGCTCAAGCGCGTTCACAAGCTCACAAGGGTGAACGAACGGATCGCGGCTTCGGAGCCAGCCAGTGCACGGTGAGTCGTGCAGTCCCAGAAGCCATGCCCACCCAGCGTCGCGCCCAAGCGTCCGCCACGGTCAGGAGACTTCACCTTCGCGGTCAGTCCAGACCAGTGCGCAAGCTGCAAGGGCACACATCACCTGAGCGCGTGCCCGAGGTTCAAATCTCTGATGGTTCAGCAGCGATGGGAATTTGTGCGCGCCTGCAAGGACATCTGCAGCTGCTGCCTGTCACCTGGCCATTGGTCCACTGCGTGCAAGATGAGCTGTGGCGCCTGTCAAGTGACCGGTACGTACGAGCACTTCACCGTCGCGGTCGACAAAGCTGACGGCTCGATATCGGAGTTCCGCGCCTGGGCGCTGCCAACAGTGTGCCCGAGCGTGCAGCCGGTGGACTGGAGCCAGAGCAAGCAGAGCTGGGAGCATCTCCGCGACATCCCGTTCCCCTCAGTGGAGGGGCGGATCGACGTGCTGATCGGTCTCAACGCCATCGACCTGCACACCGTACGGCAGGAAGCCACTGCAGCGCAGCCTAACCACCCGATTGCCCGACTCACCCCACTGGGCTGGGTGTGTTTGAGCCCAGGAAGAGCAGATTTGGCCCCTGCCAGCTTCTCAGCAGTCGTCACGCCTACATCAGAGGATCTGAGCCTCGAGACGCTCGTCCGAAACCATCTCGGCATGGAGTCAGCCGGTGCACGGCCGCCTTGCTACGACGCTATGCCATCTGCTGAGGACAACCAGGTGGAGGAGCGCACCAACGCAACGGCCTGGAGCCTGGAACGCTCACTGAAAAGCCGCCCGAGAGTACAACAGCAGTACCACGACGTCATGCAGAGCCATCTCGACAAGGGGTACATCCGTGAAGTGCCCAGCAGGGAGGTGGACGCCGATGGTGCTCAGCAATGGTTCCTGCCGCACTTCCCGGTCGTCCGCAACGACAAGGAGACGACCAAGGTGCGGATCGTGTTCGACGCCGCGGCCAAGTGGGACGGGCGATCGATTAATGATGAAATGTTCAGCGGCCCGACACTTCAGACCGACATTGTCAAGGTCCTGATCCGGTTCTGTGCCGAGCCTGTAGCACTTGTAGCTGACATCTCGGAGATGTTTCTCCAAGTGGCTCTCAGGGAAGAGGACCGCAAATACCACCGGTTTCTCTGGCGCTTCGACGACAACCAGCCGCGGGTGTATGATTTTCAGCGCATGGTGTTCGGCATCAAGGCCTCGCCTTACCTGGCGGGCAAGGCAGTCCAGGAGGTACTGCGCAGATTCGGCCCGCAATACTCAGCCGCAATTACCGACGCTCTGGAGCGGAGCCGCTATGTCGACGACCTGCTGACATCGCGCCCATCGGTGGCCGACGCAGTGGAGAGCCGCGTCCAGTTCCAGGACATCCTGTCGCGCGGCGGGTTCCACCTGCGCAAGTGGCTGTCCACCAGCGCGGAAGTCCTGCAGAGCATACCAGCTGCTGATCGAGCCGCATCCGCTACACTCAATGTCGGTGAGCATATCCACTGCACTCTGCCTACTACGAAGACGCTGGGAGTCACCTGGTCAGCGGATAAAGACGTCTTCAGCTTCCATTTCAAGCGACCAGAGTTCACCAAGTTGACACGGCGCTCCGTCCTCAGCGGCCTGGCGTCGGCGTTCGATCCTCGTGGGCAAATTGCGCCGTTCACGATCCGTGCCCGCGTGCTGCTGCAGGACACTTGGTTGCTGGATCAGGCGTAGGACGACGAGCTTCCTCCCACACACGCCAGAAAGTGGAGGGAGTGGTTTGACGAGCTGCCCGACCTGGTCGCCATCAACGCGCCACGCAGTTTCAAGGCGGCTACGGAGTCCATCCTCTCCGTCCACACGTTCACGGATGCGTCTGACCGTGCCATCGCTGCGGCGACCTACATCCGCGCAGAGGATGCAGCCGGCAACGTGCGGGTGACGCTCGCCATGGCCAAGGCCAAGACAGCCCCGGCTCGTCGGCAGACCATCCCCCAGCTGGAACTTCGCGGCGCCGTCTTGGGTCTGCAGACCAGCAGCGAAGTTGGCAACGCTCTGGACATCCCGGTCGCCGAGCACACGTTCTGGACGGACTCCATGAACGTGTTGGGGTGGATCCGCTCGCACAGTCGCAGGTTCAAGGTCGACATCGGCAACCGCGTCTCAGAGCTACAGAACGCCACGAAGCCCTCCCAGTGGAGGCACGTACCCGGCAAGCAGAACCCCGCCGACAAGGGTACCCGTGGGCTACCAGCGAAGGAGTTGGCGGAGGACCGGGTGTGGTGGCACGGACCCGCGTTCCTGTCGCAGCAACCAGACGTATGGCCGCCTGAGAAGTCAGCGTCCACAGAAGGTCTGCCAGGCGTCATCCAGCGGGAGACCACGTTCACGCTTGCCGTCACGCCAATCACTCGCCTCCAGGCGTCCAGATACCGCACCTGGGAGCAGCTGCTCAGGGTGACTGCGTGGTGCTACCGGTTTGTTAGCCGATGCCGTCGCAAGCCGCGCGTCGGCATGAAGGGGGAGGATACCAGCAGCGATCAAGACGTCACCGTTGCAGTGTCGACTTCGCGTTCAGCCAACCCGAACTACCCTACTGTCAACGTGCCAGAGCTGACGGCGGGTGAGGTAGGCCGCGCGGAGAGGCACTGGATACGACAGGCGCAGAAGGCTGCGTACGGCCCAACCCTGGAGCGTCTGGCCGCCGGAAAGCCAATGCAGGCTAGCGACCCGCTGGCGGCGCTAACCCCGACGCTAGATCAACATGCTGAACCGCTGATGGTGGTCGGAGGCCGTTTGAAGGCTGCGAAACACTTGCCATAATCGTGTACGCTTACCGATCATCCTGCCTCAGAAGCACGTTGTCACGCGGCTGCTGATCGAGAAGGAGGACCGGAGGTGCCGCCACAGCGTGGGACCTCAGCATCTGCTGTCCAACCTGAGGGAGAGGTTCTGGATAGTAAACGGTGCATCAGCAGTCAAGACGGCACTCCAGTCGTGCGTTCCGTGTCGAAAGAACTGGGGTGTACCGGCGGCGCGGCAGCGCTCTGCCGGACTTTCGGACTGCCGGGTCTCTCCAACCATTCTCGCACTGCGGCATCGACTTTGCCGGGCCGTTCCAGACTAAGCAAGGACGAGGCAGAACCCGAGCGAAGCACTACCTCTGTCTCATGACGTGCCTGGAAACCCGTGCCTGCCATCTGGAGCTCACCTACTCCATGGATACCGGGGGGGTTCCTCATGGCGTTCAACCGGTTTGTTAAGCGGCGCGGCACGCCAAGCATCATCGTCACCGATAACGGCTCAAATTTCGTCGCGGCTGAACGGGAGCTACGAGAAGCCGTGGCGCAGCTCGATCGCGCAGAGATCGCGCGCAGTCTCGCTGATCGACACATCCGGTGGAGGTTCAACCCACCCAGAGCACCGCATTTTGGAGGTGTCTTCGAAGCTATGATTAAGGCAGCGAAGCGCGCTCTGAGATCCGCACTGGCCACCACTGAGCTCACTGATGAGGAGCTACACACCGCCATCGTCGCCGCAGAGGACCCCATCAACTCCCGTCCGCTGACAACAGTCAGTGCCGACGCCGCCGACCTCGAGCCGCTGACTCCGCAGCATTTCCTTGCAGGACGCTGCGACCCACCTCTGCCGTTGGAAGAGAAACTGAACGCCACAGAGCCAGTCACCCCCAGAGATCGCTTCGCCGTCGTGCAGCGCACAGTGAAGGAGGTCTGGAGGAGATGGCTCCTGGAGTTCGTCCCACTGCTGAACCAGCGCAGGAAGTGGCGCAAGACGCAGAAGAACATCGCTGGACCCTTGGAGCAAGCGATCAGGTTGCAAAGCGAAGAAATCCGACGTGTGGCTGCTGGCACGGACGTAACTTGCAGTCGAGTAAGGAAGCTGGAGGAGTGCCTGGCCGGCACCCAACCAGCCTGTACCAGTCCTTCACCGCAGGTACATCCACGGCCCGCGCAGGCTGTGGGTGCGTGCCAGGCGCAGATGCACCCCCACTCCTACTCTAGGGCTGCGGCTGCGCCGGCTACCGATGGCTTTCGTGCCAAGGCTGCCCAGGCTGCACCAGACAGGACGAATGCAGGCTCAGTAACGGAGCCCGCACTTCAGGCAACGGTGACATCTTGCTATCAGCGCCCTGCACGCAAGCACGACCGGTTAAGGGGTGCCAGTCGGCTAAAGTGCAAGGCCGTCTACGTTGGCCGTGTTGATGTCGGTTGCTCGGCAAGTTCAATCGCGAAATGGTGCGAGGACCGCAGTGTGACTGTAATCAAATGCTCAGTATCTGCGGCACGATATTTTGGTCTGGCGTATGCCCACCTTGTTATTTCGGAGGAGCATTGGCAGAAGGTCCAGAGTCTAGACTTCTGGCCAAGTGGTATTTCGGTTCGTGAATGGCGCTTCAAATCAGACCGCATCACTCAACAGAACTGAGTGCGTCGCTCAATCCACTTGCGCCACCATTCCTTCCTGATTCTGGACGACAAACTAATAAAACTCCCAATCAACCTGCCCAATTACCTTCATCCTTCTCAGTGCTCTCACTTAACTGCCGCTCCATAGTTAATAAGTTAGCTGAGCTTAGTCAAGTCTGTGAGCAGTATTCTCCAGACATAATCTGCCTATGTGAAACGTGGCTGACAGCTGCCATAGACGTCTCAATTCCAGGCTACACGTCATACCGCCTGGACCGCCCACCCACGACCAGCTCTGATAACCTGCCAGCAAGAGGCTATGGCGGTGTTGCTACTCTTGTAGCTGACAGATCGTTCATGTCCATCAAGCGCCGCTTCGACCTTGAGCGCTGTGGACTGGAGGCGGTTTGGCTCGAATTGCGGCCAGTGATCCTTCCCTCACTCCCCCTCATCATCTGCTCTGTTTACAGACCCCTGGATACAGCATCTCCCAAATCCAGGCATTTAGTGACCTCCTAGAGGACTGTCTGTCCAATATTAGCCTCACCAATTCGGCGATTGTACTTGCAGGAGACTTGAATCCTCGCCACTCTGACTGGTCTCCTAGTGACACCACGAATCGTGCTGGAAGGGAGTTCCGTAACCTCTTCTCTTGTTTTGGCCTTGAGCAAATGGTGACATTCCCCACACACTTTACCCCCCACGGCTCAACATCGTGTATTGACGTTGTACTCCCGGATCATCCTCACCTACTACTCTCTGTTACATCTGTTGCTCCTCTTGGTGCATCTGACCACGCACAGATCCTCAGTCATTTCCTACTGCCTACTGATGCTGTTTACCGTGAGGAACCTGCTGCAAGCGGACATCTCGCTGCTGCACCCCGAAGCCACTTCAGCAATGTTCCTGCAAAGCCGGAATATGACTTTAAATCCGTGCCATCTTCCGTCTGGGATAGTGTGAATGCAGAGCTCTCTGATATTGACTGGAGCTGGCACCTGCGTGCCAGCAACGTCAATGATGCGCTTTCGCACTTTTCTTCCATTCTCAACAGTGCCCTTGAGAAGCACCTCTGGCCATTCGGAAAGCAGCCGTATTCTCACCGCTGCCCACGGCCCAGTCAGCCACCCTGGGTTGATGCCCATCTCCGCACAGCAATCAAGTGGAAATATGACCTCTATAGCACCCAACACAACAAAACACACAAGCATACCAACAGCAGCGAAATATAGTGAAAACCCTGACGCGGACAAAGTACAGAGCTTATATTCGCTCAGTGCAAACTACTTTGCAGGGTAGACACCGTCCATCGCTTCACCAGTTTGTGAGACAAGCAAGAATTCAAAACGTATCACGGGAAATAATTAATTCCGTCACTCACAACAGGGACTCAGCAGGCGGCTGACCCTTTGGCCAAAGCTACGGCATTTAACGCCCAGTTTGCCTCTGTGACTCGGCCAGATGACCCGTTGCTCTCTATTCCCCCTATTCTCACCCCCTCGGAGCCCTTAGCTTGTTCCACGTCCGTCATCACCACAACTGCCACTGTCCGGCGTCATCTGAAGAAGCTTCCGACGTGCAAGGCGTCTGGTCCTGACGGCATCCCCAACCGGGTCCTCAAGGCCCTGGCACCATCCATAGCATTCCCTTTGTGCCATATTTTCAACATGTCATTTACCACGGGCATATTCCCTTCCGCATGGAAAACAGCAAAAGTTATACCTGTATTCAAGAAAGGTTCCCGCCACAAACCTGCAAACTACCGCCCTATCTCTCTTCTTCCCTGCGTGTCCAAAGTATGTGAACGCATCTTTTATGACCACTTATACAGACATGTTTCGCCGTTTCTGAGTCCCGCACAATCTGGGTTTCGTAAAGGCGACTCCACCTCCCTTCAACTGACCCGCATCGTGCAGCAGGTGTGCCTGTAACAGTTTTCCCCTGTTCTCTATAACTTTACACTCCCTCGCACCTCATGCGTCTTACGCCTGTCTATTAGCACCTTCATTGGCGCCATTGCCACATGTATACTATCACATTTTGCATATAACTGGTCGAGGCACGCTCAACCAGGCCTCTTACTTTTCAAGTTTGATTAAACCTGTTACACTGGTAGCAGAGGATGGTTACTACTCTGCTTTTGGCAGGTGTTCTGGTCGCTCTGCTTACGCTCCTCGTACTCGTCGTTCGGCTGATAAACGATATCAAGACCGCTCAGCGCGTTAGCCAAGGAAACCGAACGATACATCCGAACTCGGAACCGTGGGAGCCAACACCCCGCCTTACGAAAGAGCCGCCTGTGTTTGG